GTTAAGTCATGTAGCTTTGAATGACTTGAAACATCGACCACAAGTCTCTCCTCCTTCATTAAAAGCTCACTGTAGTCGTCTTGACCTCGCAACACATTGCTGTCAACTGAAAGAAAACCCTGCCTCTGCTTTCATTTGATTGAAGAATGAAAAAGACGTGACTGAGGTAACAAGCTTTTTCAACTCGAGTGCACATACCGTACAACTGCAAACCATTCAAAAAATGTGTAAAAACAGTGTTCACTGTGATCTACCACTTATGCAGCCAAACTTTAAAAATATAGAAAATAATATTTGTAATCGTTCAACTGATACCATGAATCAGTTACAAATGCTCCCTTATGGTTAACAGTTAATCGGTTATTTTGAGCATCCCTTCTTCCAAATAAATGGTATCGGTGCAACCCTAGGCATCTTACTAGCAAGTCTATTTCTTATCTTGGTGAAATGTTAAGGTCTTTTGTATCATGTATGAAAGATGCCCTCCATGCTCTGAAAGTTTCTGGTTGGTCGTTAAATTGTGTAAGGCCAGTAGACACCAAATCACGTCTTGCAATAAACTTGACCACATCGAAGATGTGACTGTCCACATACAAATTACTTTGATGCCCGGCATATAAGGGAATACCTGACATTGTCTAAGAATAGTCCAGTGGCATCTCTCTATGTCTGCTTCTTTCCTCACTACCTTGAACTGCTGAAAACTGGGCTTTTGGGTGATGAACATATTGAGGTGACTGGGTGCATGCCTTGCTTGACCAGAGAGTGTCAAGCGTACACTGGTAGACTGTGAAATGGCAGGGTTCTGTATGTTCTCTGCATCACTAGGCTGCAATCTTGGAGACATGACATACACTGCCTTTCCTGCTGCAAATATTATCCAGTATTCTGTGGTTGTTGCATTTCTGATAAACGTATGCTTTCCTTATCGGTTCATCCAGGACTGGCGCCTCTGCATGCACATTATTATTCATCTGTTCTGACACATAGGCCTAAAGTCTTCAATGAAGCTTCTAGCAGTGCTTGTTGTACTTACATTTCGATTTCTTTTTTAGCAAAAGCTATTTCTGCCATTTCGTGCCATTGCAGCAGTGCTGGTTACAGCCGATAAACCATGTTAGTGACGTGAAGAGCATGATGTGCTTGATGCCTGCCTCTGTGATCCAGCTTTGGAGCTTGGCTTGGACATTGTTGAAAGATCACCTTATGAGCTGACATGCTCCCCACCATGAAGTCAAAAGATTATTCTAGACCTAAAAGTTGGTCACTGAAGATATTCGTTTGACTGTTCTGCCCCTTATATCAAACGCCTTGCTTGACTTAACTGAGAGTTAACATCTTCCAATGATAACAGACTCAAGGGATAAGTTTGAACCTTTTACTGTTGATTATGGAATAAGGAGCATAAAACTGCAAAATATACAAAATACAGAATGGTAAGTATGCACAATTGGGGCTCTTTGCAAAATAATCACTGGTTACACTCTTAACCGACTCATATATACAATTGACCAAATAAAGAACAAAATTAACATCTTGCAAGTATAATGACATGAGTATAGTGTAAGCATAAATAAACCTAAGTCAAATTATGATGAAATAATGTCTACAAACCCAATGTGCCCTCAATACAACTTAAATCAAGGAGCAAATGATTGCTACAACCATGTGCTCTTCCATGCAGCTTCTGAATACATATGCTCACATTTTTTATGTCATCAAATAAGGACTCTAGCATTTAATACAATACCTATATATAACCAGAAGGTCGCTAAATCACAATTTAATACTAACTAAATGTAAAATGTCTGAATAAGACAGCAGTCCTTCAAGCTAAAGAGAATTGGGACACCAAAGGTGGGTAAGGGGTAGAATTGAGAATGGGCCATTATCTCTCCTATCCAGATGAATCACTTTCTAGTCTTATTAGTTTTTCTTGAACGGTTTGGACAGCTCTCTGGGTACAAATTAACTGTGTTGGGCAAGCAACTTAAAAAATGCTGCTTGCCAAAAGTAGCATAGCTATGTCTAAGTTAATTTTTATTGTTCTTATTACTATTTTACAGATATGACTACTGAGAATGTGTGAGTGATCTAAAGTGGTGTCGCATGTGACTGCAGTAAACTGTGGCATAGTACAACATGATCTAACACAAGTAATACATGGCCAGCAGGGGGCAGTTATGTAACATAGTAAACATACTGAACTGATGTACTGTATACGTTGTGACGCTCCATTCTGCTCCATGGTCATGTGCTTGCTCGCCGGTAAACGATACCGCGCTGATTTGTGTGTGGATATTCATTTATTTTTCATCAATAATTTATAGTGGATGTTGGAAAGGGTATAGGCAGGCCAAAAAGAGATTATTACATTACGTGTGAGTTAAAAAAACTCAAACTCAAATAAGTTTGGCTGTATAGACCAAGGAATTATACACCATTAGCATACGAAAAGTGGAATGGGGGAGGGGACTTAAAGAAGCTGCTGTCTGATAAACAGAAAGACAAAAGGCCTCAATCCATTCCATTAACGTTGGGACTGCATACAAAAATATGTTTTGTTATGCATTTATAGCATCTTTAGTTGCATTTAAAAGACTGCATTTAAACTACACAAAACGATCATCATCCATACTGACATTTCACACTTTGTTTCATAAATTAGACTATAAATATCTTTATCAACATTAAAAAAAGAAGGTCAGCTTATATATGTGTATGAAATGTGTACGCTAAAAATGGTATAAACAACATTCAAAACATAAACATAAACAGAGGAATGTCTGGCTCAGCGAGAAAGAAAAACATCTCATTCTGTGCAACCTTTTTCTTTGTTTAAAAGCCGAGTGCATCCTAATTATTTATATTTTGATCTAAGTTTGTTCTTAAATCGTGTTTCAGTGTACACATAAAAATATTCAGATGTTATTTGAGAGTAGCCTATTTGTACTGAATGAAAGAAAAAAGGTGTAAATAACTATAAGTAATAGGAAAGCTCCGACCAATCATAGCGCAACATCAAACAGTGTATGTGTGACTTCATGTAGCGTTGCGCAGACCGATCAAAATCTGTCTTAAATCGGTGAGTGCCTCAATCAAAGTTTAATAAAAGTACAGCCACAGTGCTCCGAGATCAGACCATTGTTAAGGATAAAAGGTGTGTTAGCGCATGAAATATGTGCGTTTGCATATGTGTTTGTGTGAGAGACCGGACAAGAGAGCGCTCGCTTAATAGCTCTTGATGATGCATGTGGCTGGATTTCTTTCTTTCTTTTCAAATTTGTTTTGGAGATGATACAAAATATGAATACAACAGAAAGACAAATTTTTACAAATTATGTGTCCACTTTTGTAGGCTCAAAACAATAGTGTCATGTCTAGATAAAATAGCCTAAGCTATGTTGAAATCATTTCAAGAATTACAGATATCGGAAATAATAAAATCACAGTAAATAAATAAACCAATATAAAACAAACAAAAGCTATAACAATTTAGGTATATACAATACAAATAAATTAAACTGTTTCAAGCCATTTTAAACCTTTCATTTTATAAAGGCCTATCTAAAAAAAAATTTAAATGTTTCCTAAAAACAACAAACAACGAAGGAGTTTTGAAATATTTTTATAAATGTTTTTGGATACGATAACATTAATTAAATCCTGCAAACAAAGTATTTTTGGATGTGTGAAACCAGAAACTACATTATTTTCAGTCATCCAGTCCTGCGCAGTGCTGCTTTATAAACAGATTGGGAAAAACTGCTAGTAAAAAAAAAATTCTATATTTTTATATGACGTGGAAAGATTAAAAATTAAAATTCTGAATGTAGAGCTTTATTAGTAGATAGCTGCTAAGCATAAACAAAAAATAGGCCCTATTTTATTACTTGCTCTTATGTCCTGAAACACTTATCGGTTTTCTTTAAGATAGCAGAATAATATGCAACATCCTTAAATTATTCTCTGAAATAAAGGGGAATTACCTATTACGTGAAAATATTATATTTGTTTAGTATGTTAATGTTTTTATTATGTTTTCAAATTGTAATTATGTTTTTAAAAGCTTTAGAATAATAAATAAATGCTAACGACCAAGTTTCAGTGTATTTTTAATATGAGCTCTATTTAAAAAGTATTGCAGCAGAATGAGCATATCATTCATGAGCAGTCTTTAAGTTTTAATGCATTTAAATCGTTCCGCACTCTCTGTGTTCTGCCCATTTTGAGGTTCGCAACAGTGGGCGGAGTCTCATTGTACCTGCAAGGCTATGTGTGCGTGTGCGTGTGTGTATGTGTGTGTGCGTGTGTGCGTGACTTAAATGATTTTATTTGTAGAGATGGAAGGAAATAGAAAGTGAAATCCAATTTCAAGCATTTACACATGCACTTCGAATACAAAAAGTGATATTTAAAAAGAAATGGAGTATATGGCTGGCTTTTTTCACAACAACAATATAATTATCCGTAATTTAACATTTACAAAAGAGAACTCTTTGGTGTATATATAAATATATATATATATATATATATATATATATATATATATATACATTTATTTATTTCAATTTATTTCATACAATTTAATGCATACATTGCCAAAAGCATTTGTTTCTCTTCATGTTTGATCCAATTATCCATTTCCGTCATCACTATCCTTATAGCTGACAGTAACTGACATCTTCTTCAGTAGCATACATGTGGAGATTATGCATGAGGCTGTATGAATGAAACTGAAATAGCAATGTTGTTCTCATGCACGCACACACACATACACACACATATGTATGTATGTTGGCAAATACCACACAAGTGTCAGTGAGTGGTGTTAACTAATAAAGTGCTGCTTGTATTTGTGCGACAATATGCAAAAAATCAATATCATATCTTAAAGTATTTTAATATTAAAACATCAATATTTTTAAAACACTAATGTATAATAGTGTCTGAATGATAAGAATCATGTGAATCATTTATTTTCTCATTTGATCTTCTAGACCCTCTATCCATGAGTCCACAGAAAGCGCTGGAAACAATAGGAGCTAACCTCCAGAAACAGTATGAGAACTGGCAGCCCAGGGTAAGAGCCGTCATGTTACACGTTTTATTATTCTTACTGTTCATTGTTCACACTACAACAAAACTAAATTAACATAAAACTTTTAGTCAAGCCCAAATTTATTCATATCCCTGTCAAATTCTACCTTAAAGTTGCTTTTATTCAAACAGCAAGTTTTTGGGCTGGAAATGACACAGGCTTTACTTAAAAGATAATAAAACCATGTACAATACAATATGACGCAAAATAATAATAGTAATAAATGTAACAGAAATTAGCTCATTTTATGAATATTAATAATCAACAACAACGGTTTATTCTTAATTATTAATATTCCGGCTTAAGCTTCAGTCAATTTGGTCAAACAAACATATGATTGTATCTGATCCTGCTCGCTCGACCGAGCGCACTCTCAGATTATGAATATTAATTATCAACAATAACGAATTATTATTAATCATTAATATTCTGGATCAATTTATTGTTAACTTGACCAAACAAACACAAGCAGAGCCGCCGCTCTTCCGAGCGGACACGGCAATGATCTATTCATTTATAAAAAGGGAATTTAATTGCTACTTCTTGTGAAGTAGATTAATCATGTATAAGTTTTAATCAACTTATAACAGCTAGGCAGGGGAATCTGTATTTCAGTGACATTTTCTCGTGAGGCAAACAATACAATCTAGAGGTCTGGGGACCCGACTAGATTTCTATGGCGCGGGTATAAATTTCAGAATAAATCACGGAAGCGGTCGGTAACGGGTTTAATTTGGGACGGGAGTGGGCTGTCTAGCAATATCGCTCCCGACTCCCGAGTGAGCACGCGTATGTATGTGTGTAAATGAAATAGCGCTATGCTGTGTTTAGCTTGTTTGTTGCAGTGTGTGTGTGTGTGTGTATGTATGCGCACGCGCGAATGAGAGATATGTGTGTGTGTGTGTGTGTGTATGCGCGCGCGAATGAGAGAGAGAGAGCTTTGCCTGTGTTTGTGCTTGGTGCTTATGAGTGTGTGTTAGAGGACGCGCGCGCGAATGAGAGAGAGAAAGCTTTGTATGTGTGTGTGTGCTTGGTGCTGTGCGTGTGTGTGTTTATACAGACAGCTTGTTATAGGCTGTCTGGACTGTATAACTGGGTGATTTTCGGTTTTGTTCTCCCCCCGCTCTTTAGCGGGATCGGGCGCAGCGGATAGAAAACGGGGCGGGTCGGGCAGCGGGACATCAAGTGCTTAATATAAGCGGGGGAATATTGAACGGAACGTTTATCTCCAGCATATATGTTACAATATATATGTTAACAGTTATGTTACAGTCCCCTTCTTCCCAGACAATGTGGTTCGGAGAAAACCAGGTTAATTGGGATCTAACTTAACTTGTTGGTTGGGCTGGAGGTGAGGGTCCCTCGATGTCCGTTCCTGAGTCAGCTGGACGGAGTTTGATTTTGATCAGCGTAGGCGTGGCGTGGGAAGAGAGAGAAAGGGAACAGGGGAGAGAGTAGGTGGTGTCTGTGATGACTGTGCTTGGCTGGGCATTTCACTGTGACACCGGTTGCGGGGTCTCTACCCCCTTTCCTGGCTTGTGGCCCAATGTTTGTTACTCTGGTTGTGATACGTAGGTTTGAGGGTTGGCTGCTATGCGGCTGAGCGTATACAACCAGGAGTCTTTGCACTTCCTGTGTGATGTTGGTAGTGCAGGGGGGGGTACCTCGGTCCCAGTTGTTTACATCATCAGAAGATATGCCATGGTCTGGGCTGTGTCATCGGTGCTGAGAGACACTCTACCCACTTGGTGTACTGGCATATGAGTTCAAGGGGAAAAGGAAGCGAAGGAGAGAAAAACACACACTAAAAAAAAAATTGTTGCTCCTTGTGAGCCCATGGAAGTGTCCCACCCGATCCATCTGGGTGTCTGATCATGAGAGGATAGTTCCTCTGTGTTGCTGTGGTGCTCGTTGAATCAGCGCCCTGGGCATGTTTTGCTGTGTGCTGGGTCAGTACATTAGCATTACCCCCCTCTGGCTCTGAGGCAGCATGAACTGTGGTGTCGTGGGGTCTTCAGAGACAACCCAAAAATGATTCACACGCACCTGTTTTTTAAGATGTAGGAGGTGTTGAGTGACATCTGCGTTGAAGCTGAGGTCATACAGAAGGATCGGGTGGTAGGTGGGGTGAGTGGTGGAAACAAAACAAAAAAAAACAACAACAAGAGACAAAGTAAAAGTAAAAATAAACCTGGTCTGACGTGAGGAGTCAGACGCCTAGTGGGCGCAATGTCGTTTGGGCGCAATTAGTCGGGCTGGTGAGATTGGATGTGGCAGCTGTGTTCGGTTAGGCAGGGTTGTTGGCTGCTGGTTACAGCTGCCAGATCTCTGGGTTTTGGTTGGGTGGTGACCATGGTCCACCTTGTGATGCGCCTTCTTGGTAAGGGCATCTGTCCGGTCATTCAGGTCCTTGTCAGTGCCTGAAAGTTTGAAATGTTCTTATCTTTTTTCAGTAGACGACCATGATGCGGTTGTCAGTGTTGTGGTCGCCTACTTGGGAAAAAAAAGAGTGTTGATGTTTCACGGGCTTGTGGTGGGCAGTTCTCAAGCCTTTTGTTTCCACCCTGGGAGGTGGAACGTGAAACAGAGTCTAGCAAGTTAGAGTCTGTGCAGCTAAGTGTACTCTGATGTCATGGGCTGCTGTGCTTTGAAGGGTTACAATGATGACTGCCATTCCTGCATACTGCGATGTTTGTGGGAGCATCCATCGACACGGGCTGTGGGCATACCTTGGCACGCATTCTTATCCCAGTACTTGGAGTACTTGAATGACAGGTTGGCAGAGGTGGCTGGGGTTCCTCCTCTACAGTGTTGCAAATGGTTAGTCAGTTGTACAGTCTTGATAAACAGCTAGGCCGTTGCCCAGCATGGGTTTGTGGCTTAACATGTAACGCGTGTCAATACAGTGGCCCTGGGGGACCATCGGCCACATGGCCGTACTGGCGTTAGTCTTTATGCCATCCCGAATGTGCTGACTGTTCAGTAACATGACAGGTTGGTGGAAGGTGTCTATGATGGCTTTTGTGCTCCAAAGAAGTTGGAGAATAGCTGTTGAAATGGCACCCACCGTGCAGAGCGATGTTATTTCACAGTCTTAGTATCAAGTGGCTGGGTACACGGCAAGGAGTTAGTCCTCGGTGAGCTCACTTCTGCCTACCTGTTCTTTGTTTACTGGTAAGACAGACGTGAGTGTGGCGAGCTTGAATGGAACAGTATAGTTTGTGTTTTCTAAGCTCCTCTATGGTTTCGTTGCATGTGGGGTGAGGCCACTAATTGGCCCAAGAGTTCAAAGTCATGGAACTCGTAGCTAACCAATCGTCCCAGTAGGTAGTCTTTGGAGATTTTTATGTCAATTGCCATGCAGCTATTACACAAGACATATACTGTTCATGAGGACAGTTCAATTTAAGGTATGGCTTCCAGGTTGAGGCCCAGTTTTATGCCTTCTGTAGTTGGTTTGAAGAACACCTTAATGTGTGGTTTAGAGTTCGGCCTTTCGTATGGAGAGTCATATAGAGCACCTGTTTGTATAGGCTGGCACCACAGAGTCTTGTTTGCTGATGATGGAGCAGACCTCTTGCATGGTCTGCCTGAGTGGGGCTTCTTAAGGGTGACAGTCATCGTTGTTGGCTGTGAGAAGTGTGGGTGCCTATAACCCGTCGTTAAAGGTGTCTATATATATGCCTGAAGATGTATCAGGCTATTAGCTCCGATGTGAACATCGTGCGGCGGGGCCATGAGAGTTAGGAAGGGATGGGTCAACCATCCGCCATTCCGGTTGTAACAGAAATTAGCTCATTTTATGAATAATAATAGTCAACAATAACGGTTTATTCTTAATTATTAATATTCCGGCTTAAGCTTCAGTCAGTTTGGTCAAACAAACATATGATTGTATATGATCCTGCCCGCGCGACCGAGCGGATCCTCAGATTATGAATATCAATTATCAACAATAACGAATGATTATTAATCATTAATATTCTGGATCAATTTATTGTTATTTTGACCAAACAAACACCAGCAGAGCCGCAGCTCTTCCGAGCGGACACGGTAATGATTTATTCATTTAGAAAAAGGGAATTTAATTGCTACTTCTTGTGAAGTAGATTAATCATTTATAAGTTTTAATCAACTTATAACAGCTAGGCAGGGGAATCTGTATTTCAGTGACAACAATACAATTCACTTGATTATAATGGAATTTATTGACTAGTCAGACAAATAACAACAAACGCACAAACATACATTAAACACAGAAAAAAGGTAAAACACGTGGAAATATCGGGTCTATAGAACGTGTAACAACAAAGAGAAATAGTAAAGCGAGGAAATAGAGATTTCAGATAAAAGAGTGACAAAAATTTCAGTTCCACACGCACCATTAAGGATCATCAAGATTATAAAAAACACCTTTTTGATAAAAGCGGCACAGCTTATTCGCATAACTAAAAATACCTGGACTTTCATGTCTGGAGGTCTCTCTTTATGCGGGTCTCTTCCTGATGAAACTCCTTTGATGTCCTTCTTGATGGGTTGAGTTTGTAATACAGTTCGGACGAACACGATCGCAAACTTTAAACTGAGTTTACTTTGCCGGAAAATAAGAAAGCGTGGCGGAAAAAGTCCATGCGACTTAGAAAGCCGCGTTGCCCTCCAAAAGGGCCACCTTTTGGTGATGTTCCTCGTTCTGACTACTCTGCCAGATATTTTGGGAGAAGTCTGGTTATACCTGCGGGTCACGTGACAAACCGTTCATTATTCTGACCAATGATTTCAGGGGAAAGTTTGAGTGCGAACCTTCCTTTGTCTCGAGGCTGCTCGTATGCAAATTTGAGTGTCTGCCCAAAGCATGCGGACAGGCATTTAATACAGGGATTTAAAGAATAAAGCAGTGTGAGTCATGATCTTGCTCTATGCATCATGTGTTGTAATATGTCAGCAGAAACCCATCGGTACCAAACATGGGGGGTTTAAAAGTA